CGTAAGCGAAGTTTTGCCCTCGGAAAACATTTCAAAGCCCTTACAAAAATTTAAAAAATATGTTTTTCATAGGTTTCTTGATATGCTCTACAATCTGGACAGATCAGAAAATTTTTTGGAAAAAAAAGTTTTTGGCCTAGAAAACTGGTTTTTCAAAAATCGGATCTTCGGAGGCCTAGCAGCCCAAATGCTTGTCATAGTCGGATTCAGCATGTTTGATTACCTGTTGTCCACTAGCTTAGAGCTCAAAAGCGAGTTGACAGTTGGGGGCCTTTCCTCGTGAGTCACACACAGCTATTCTGGTTAAGAATGGAATATTTTGAGTAGATATCGCTCGTGACTGAGCGCACGCATTGATGGAAGTGCTCATGCTTGTGAATACTAATTGAAAATACATTATCTTCGAAGCAGTCATGCGCCTTTAGTATGTTCTACCATTTTGAGTGTCATCCTTTCAGATTCATCTAGAACGGTTTTAATTCGTTCTCTCCTTAGAACGACATGACTCACAAATAAACGTCATGAACTGGAGACTCACAGATTCTAGGGCTCTGCAGATGTTTTTCCGGCCAGGATCTTGCTCCGTTTTTTACGAATTCACAAAGATAACTGCAAAGTGAGGCGAACGCTATCCGAAGAGTCGATTCTCACTTTTCCAAACCTCAAAAAACTGCTACTAGTCCTAGACATCAATTCGTATTTTGCGAATTCATAAAACTAACAGCGAATTTGTATGAGAAGTAAGTGAATCGATGAGAAGAGATGAATCTATCAGTTTTCAACCTCAGAGAAATGTGTCGATCCCTTGACATCAATTCGTATTTTACGAATTCGTTAAAATAAAGGCGAAGTGATATGACAAGTGTGTGAATCGATGCGAAGAGACGAATCTATCTATTGTTAACCTCATAGCAAAGTTTGTTGATAATAAAGTGCGAATTTACGAATTCGTCGGACATGCTTTGGCATCTACGAATTCGTAAAGTCGTAGTTTATGGTGGTTTCACTAGGTTACGAATTCTTGGGGACCAGAAGGATCATTTCACGAATTCGTGGATGGTCGATCAATTCGTTTTAAGAATTCGTAGATTCCCAAAATTTCTTTCTTACGAATTGGCAAAACGAAGAAAAGTGCGCCTTTTTCGTTCGTTTTTTGATCATTTTTGTTAATTCACATCAGTTCGCATCAAATTACGAATTCGCTGCGAATTCGGAAAACAATGGTAAAATGAGAATTGTGGCATTGTTTTTATCCTCAAAAATTGCGATTCGTCAATTCGTCTTTAGACACTTTGCCCACACTAATGACATACAATCGAATAATAATACACTCATTATTCTACATTTATTTCCCATAACAATACTGTGTAGATAAAAAAAGTAACGTGTGAATCTTTAGCTAACCTTGTATTTCTCTAGTGACAAGAGGTTTCGCACTCATCCGTAACAATAAACATGTGTTATTGTAATAAATAAAAGATTCTTTATAACAAAAGCGATGAAAAAGCTAAAACCACAACTATCATACTGATATAAATAGCCATTTGTAAATCCATAGATATTAATCTCATAACAGATTTCACAAACCATTCAATAATAATAACAATTGTCAATAAGTTTAGCTATGTCCTACTATTCAGATCGTTCTAAGCATCAAAAGCTAAGCCACAGTACGCGTAAGAATGAGCGTACTCAATTTATTGTTACCACATTTACACAATATTTTCGTAATGAAATTAAAAATAATCCGAAAGCATTTCAAAAGCGATTTCAAAAGATGAGTAATTCACCCTTTCAATTTTATCGTGGTTCAGCTATTCTTTTTTACCAAGACATGAAAGCTGAACGGGATCGGTGGATTGAGAATAATCCAGCAGCAGCAAACATATTTATACATGTAAGTGCAGTAATGACTCATCACCGCCTAAAGGAGTATGTATTTTTATGTTTATAGGGTGATTTGCACGCTGAAAACTTTGGCACATATCTAGACCATGAAGGCGTGCTCAATTTTCATGTCAACGATTTCGATGAAAGCTATATTGGTCCATTTACATGGGACTTAAAACGTCTTCTTGCTAGTTTGAACTTAATCGCCTATGCGAAAGGTTTCAACGATGAAGAAATTCAACAAGTGCTAAGAGTTTGTGCAGAAAATTATCTTTCACAAGTCTACAACTTCGCCGAAGGAGGAAAAGAAAATTTCTCCTTAACATTACGAAACACATCAGGCAAAATTAAGGATTTATTGCTCTCTACGCGTGCAAAATCTCACGTGGAAAATTTGAATAAGTTGACTGTCATTCAAAACAACAATCGATATTTAAAACGATCAAAAGAAGTGAAAGATGTTGATGAGCGCACCAAAGAACAATTGATTCAAGCATTCGACAAATATCTTCAGACAATACCGAAAAACAAACGGGAAGAACAATTTCATTTGCGACATCGTCACCGTTTATTGTACAAAGTCAAAGATATTGTTTCTCGATCATCACCAGGCATCGGCTCAGCTGGACGAATGTCGTACAACTTTCTCATCGAAGGCAAATCGGAAACATTGGACGATGACGTTGTTCTGTTTATGAAAGAAGCAACGGAATCGGTTATTTCAAAATTTGTCAGAAATCCAAACTTGGAAACTTATTTTCAACACAATGGAATGCGAACAGTTTTGGCATCGTACGCAATGCAATCTTGTACTTCGAAATGGCTTGGATACACAACATTGGGCAATGTTGAATTTCTCGTAGATGAAGTCTCTGCACACTCTGTGAGTTTAGATTGGGTGGATATCAACAAGTTGTCACAAATACTCAAAGTCGCCCATTTTCTTGGAAGAGCAACCGGTAAACATACTCTAATTCATAGCGCATGTTAACATCGCTATATGTATCGCTTTTGTTTTAGCTAAAATTCATTGTGTAGTGGACTCAGAAAGTGTTTCTGATATACAAGGAGCCGATTTAGCATCATTACCATTTTCAATCATACCGCTGCACACCGAACAGACAATACTAGGTGCGATAATGAATCAAAACGAAGAATTTATAAACGATATGGTTCGATTTGGAATGGTAAAGGGTTATGTTTTGTTTCAGATTAACGAAAAATCGCTTTGTCTTTCTTGTTTAAGGTTTATGGTGCACAAGCGCGACGTGATCATCAACTATTTTTCGAAGCTTTACGTAACAATCTCATCCAAGGATTGAAATAGATGCATTTTCTCAGTTGTTCTTAAAACATTTCACTTTTCTAATAAATATAATCTAATGTTGCGTTTATTAACGGGTAAGAACTTTAAAACTATAGAGATAATAACAGCAGTTGTTTTTAATTCCATTATTTAATTTTTTTCAAAATAAAGACACAATTCCAAAATTGCTACAATCAGGAATAGTTTATGGGGTACAATGTAATGATTGTGACAGTACATATGTTGGAAAAACAGCAAGGCAAACATGTTGGCGTTTAGTCGAGCATGGTGCACCTAAAAGTCTTACAGAATCATCCAATCATAGATCCTTGTCTTTGGACGACGTTTCTACACAAGATTTCACAGGACCGATAAAAAAGATTAGATCAAGAATAAAGGTTACACATTATTCTAATCACGCAAACTTAAGACGGTCTACGCGTACAGCGGAAAAATTCCAAATCTCTTCTGCTCTCCTTGAAATATATATAATTTCACTACTAGGCAAACAAATCTGCTCTCTTTCGGCACATTCAAGACACTAGTCCTACAATCAATTGGAACGGCTATAAAATTCGAAAAGAATCCCTCGTGATCTTGAGTCATCAACCTAAACTTAACAATACTCGGTACCACTTTACATCTTTCCAAATGGTATCTCAAAAAATGTGGTCCCAGAGTCAGGAGGTTGAATAATATTTTTATCAGAGGGATATTATTTTCTCCCCATTGCTATTTTCTCATTTGTTTTTATCCATGTTAACTGTCGAATAGTTACATACTCGGCTGCTTCAATGTTTTAATCCTTTGCTTTATATATATCTAGGCATGTCTTTTGTTTTTCTAATTCTCTCACTCTCTACAATTTCATATATAAACACATGTATGTATTATTGGAACTTATATTTTTGACTCTATTGTTACTTTATAGTCTGTTCATCTATTATTTTCTTGAGAACGAAAATTGTACTTTCGAAACGTCAAATTTTAATATTAAAAAAAATTAATTAAATAATGGAATTAGAAACAGTTGCCATCTAAATGTGACGAAAAACGATTCATGCAATATGGTTAACTGAGTAATTATATTGATCCCGACTACCAACTTGTAGACCTATCTCATTTGAAAGAGCGTTAAATTCTGAGTAAGAAAATGTTCTTTAGAAGCTTTTAAAAAAATAACGAACGGCGAAATATCGAAGGCAAAGCCAACATCTTCGTTTTTACAAAAATGACAATAAGAGCCTAAAGTAAACAGTATTTTTGAACACGATAATAAAAGCATAACTAGACGGAAATTAGTGAATTAGAATTCGCATTCCAAGCCCTATCAAGTGGTACACTAATTATTTGTTCAAACTGCCATTAGCGGTGGACGAGTAAAGGCTACTTTTATAAAAATCCTGATTTTTACAAACTTCGACCTTCATCATATATACCGCTAAATAACGCTTGAAACACTGCATGCAACTGCTTCAGATTAATTAAAATTAACTAGCTATCGAAAAGATAACTAGCTAACGAAAGACGAAGACATACACGCATACATTGATAGAACAGATCGTGGATAGATCCATCCATTCTGAGGGAACAATAACCAATAAGCAAAATTGTGTCCCTGGTGGTCTCAGTTTGAGATAGGTTTACACCAGTTGCAGTCTTTACACTGATTTATTAACTAGTTTTCACTGGATGCTCAAACTGTTAGGTATTAAGTGATTTGTTACAATAGCAGTTCGCTTAATGATGTCAATAGCTCTAATTGACCCCATCTAGTGGTGGCAATAGTCATTCCGAATAATAAATGTGTAAGTGAAAAAGAGATAGAAAGGGGTAGACATGACTAGTCAGAGATATGTTTATCGCGATATCGTTGAGTTAAGAGTTTCTTTTAAATGCTATGAAACGTTGTTGTTGCTATAGATCGTAGTACATCACAATGAGTGTTCGCTACAGTTTTGCATAAAACTCAATGTTTCTAACGCATTTTTGTTGCTTTGAGTGTTCTTATCATTTCCATTTCTCGACATATGTGAATAGAGAAACGAAGAAAAATAAATTGCTAACTATTCCGGTATTGCGTAGTCATTTTTCCACCCTCTCTTAGGCTATACTATCCATTTCAAAATACAACCACCGACGATGATTTCTCATTTACTATTGAGCAAACTTGTGGTTTTCATCATTCCGTAGAGAGTATCGAGGACTTCTTTTCACAAAAACAACAGTAACGTGTTTGGAAGATAGAGTATTTGCTGAGTGTTAGCAAACACGTTTGAATTTCAAAAGTCAAAGTGAGAATATATTTGCATTTAACATGCATATATAGCTTAAATTATGAAAAACTAGTTTTCCGGAAACCTCGAGAAATCCCCAAGAGTTTTTCTAAATAAGTCACAACTGTAGTCCGTGAAATTCTGATAAAAATGAGACATATCCCAGCTCTACATGACCTTTCTTTGCAAAGTTATAGAATTCACAAGAAAAGCCCTAAATGTTTATTGCCACCTCAGAGCTACAGAAAGAAGAAGGAAAGATGGTATCGATTAAACGTAGTCTTGTAGTCTCAATTACACGTCCCTAACTTAGTCAAAATCCATCCACACTATCTTGAAACTTCCAGAGCTAAGCTCTATTTCATCTTCTTAATTGGATTGTATACTTAGTATTAATAAAAGCTTATCAGTGCTTTCCTATTAGATGAACGATGTGAAACCTGTTTTCTTAATTTTTTAAATACTTAAAATATCTGTTACTCATTTAATTCTTAATGATATGTAAATAAGGTTCATACCCAAACTCCTCACACTTTCATCTACCCACACACCTCCTCTGAAGATTCTTTGATCTCAGTTTGAAATTAATCAAAAGTATGTGGAGATTGGGAAGTAACGGTAAATAAATCGCTAATCAATTAAACTGTTCTTCTAAATGAAAAAAAGAATAACAAAAATACTAAGCCTAGCAGAAAGAAGAAGAAAAATCGAAAAACGAAGTTGTATCAGGGAAAAAGGTCATAGCTCAACCCAAAAGCATTGTATAGAACCAATAAAAGATGTTTGAATGAGGTTCTTTCCAAGAATGTCTCGGAAAAAGACTATTCATAAACCCACATTGAACAATTAAGAGACACACTTTTTATTGTTACTGTCTATATACCTCATTTTTAAACATTTTTTTAAAACACTCCCATCATCAATATCTTGAAAATCTACTTGATGGTAACGCTTTTATTCCTTGTGTTACTCATATTTTCAATAGAAAAATTATATAAAGTAAATCAAATATTAGAAATTGAAAACGCACTTTCTGACAGAGTGAAAAAATCTCTTTTTAATTTAGTCAGAATATCGCTCACAAAACGGGTATATTTCGAAGTTGTAGCGTGGTTTGAATCGATTTTTGGAAGCTTGTTTCCATTACTTTCTCTGAAAATGAAGGAGAAATCTACTAAATGACACAGCACATACTTTTCAAAAAATCACTTTTAAGAAAAAAGTAAAAACAAGTTTTGACTTCTAAAACTGACTTTTTATGACGGAAAAATTGCTATACGAAATAATTAGGAGTAGTTTGTTATCGTTTATCGATGCGTTCAATGGTCACGTGAAGAAACACATGCAACATATCCCTCTGCGGATAAACTAAATAACTAAAAGATTAAAAAAATGGTTCTTTCTCACAGCTCCCGTAAAGCCATCGCTTAAGCAAAAATCTTTGAACTAACCAACCATTTATAAGTCTCAAAAACGAATTTTTTGGCAGGTGCACAATGGGCAAATCCTGCAGGAAATGGACATGAGTACGAAGTGTATTCAGCAGCCCCAACACTGAACTTCTTCTAAGTTTTCAAACACACTCTAACGGTTAGCCGATTAAGTATTTTTCGGGGCAAAAAAGTGTTTTTTTCGAATTGAGGTCCTCAGACGAAATTGTTACAATATCAGCTTTTTGTTTAGACATGTGTTATCTGATGCATAGCTCAATGTAGTTCTTTATACTGGTTCCGAATACCACCTTGGTTTCCAGTAGGAATGCTCCTGGACTGGGAAAAATAGATTTAATTTGAAAAACCGAAGCATTTTGGAAAACTTCCACAGAGTTGTACAAAAGTTTATGCATCCATACAGTGGATATAGACGAACAGTCTGGTATGTTTTTAGACAAATTTATAATAAAAAAAATAAATTTTTCATCTGTTGATAGTCGAAAGTGTCTGGATTTATAATGTGAACTATTTGCGCTTTAGACCTCCTCTTCTTAAATGAGAAAAAAGCCGGTATTTTTTTCACCAAGGTGTCTTGACGTTTTTTTTGGCTATATGTTTTTCGTGATTTTTGCTTTAGCTGCTTCGTCAACCCTTCAGAAAAAAGAGATAGTCTGGTCCCTTTATAACATATTACTTTACGTTTTGTCAAAGAAGTCAAGTTAAAGGCCATTTAAAGTAAAAAAATTGGCGTCCTTTTTTTATCTAATGGTACATTGTTTGATTTTTTCGGCACCAAACAATTTATCCAAAACCGGAACAATATCAGGTGTTGTTCAGCTTTCTCGAATTCAGCTTCGCTCGTTCGAATGATGTGCAATTTAAGAAAATCAAATGCATGATAATGTCGCTACAATTAAAAGAACCGGAAATACAAAATTCTTCAATTTTTAAACAAAAGTTGTTGGTGCATTTTTTCAAAACTATCTGTTCTCAACCATGAAACCTTTTTATACACCCAAAACAGCTAACTTTGGATGCAGAATCCGAAAGTCGTATTTAAAAAGCTTTTATTTTTCGCAGGTTTTCTCGATTTTCTCGACGTGCTCACAAATTCTCTCATAACACCGATACCTTTGAATATAATTATTAGTCTACATCCGAACTATACGATACCTCAGAAAAATCTGAGTTACCAGAACGGTGCACATGACAGAACTGAACAAAATTTGATTGCTTTTTGATTTCCTCAGTATAATCAAGGCGATGATAGTCAGACAAAACTAATCTCAAAATTTTCCTCTTTGCAGCTATA